TCAATTAATCCTTTTCCTTTTTAAATTTATATTATTTTCCCAATCAGGAAATGTTGCTAGAAAAACAAACGAATAAAATGCAGAACGCGCTTTTATTTATGATCCCTCCGATTACTTCCTCTAGTCGGAGGGGAATTTACGCGCCCTATGACTTCTCACGTTCTAAAAATACCGCACTTTCTTTTTCTTTTTTCTTCTTTCGTTCTGATTGGCCGGAATTTAAAAAAGTGCTCTGTCCTTGTGCCAGTATGTCGCAATGTTTTGCTTCCTCTGAGTTTTTTTTATATTTTTTCTGGTTGCCTCGTTGGTGATATTCTACCGAACGTTCAACCACGTCGTTGTCCAATGCCGCTGGAAACTTCCTCTGTTGGATACGCTCTTTTGGGTGGGGACCAAAAGCCCGCAAAAGGATATTTGAAATTTGGGATTCGGATATGGGCATTTTATTTGGCCCATGAATGGTATGGACTTGTCTTGCATTTATGCAAAGTCCAAAGTCCATGAATTCTGTTTGAACTGTTTTTTCTTCGGCCTTTTTGAAACAGAAGAATTTCTTTTATCTCAAACACCTAGCTAACGTTAGGGTAACAATAACTTCAGTTGGTAGGTTCAATTGTAGATTAAGCCTTTCCTTCTCCTTGTGAGATTTCTGATTTGAGATCTTTTACTTGCACTTAAAAGGAAATAAAAAATCCCCTTTCCCTGTTTTCCCTTAGAAGCCTTAATGAGGTGTTCATTAAGTAAGCTAGTTTTGATATAAGAAATATGTTTCAATTTCAATCACACCCGCATACAATGTTTAAGGTTCAATCACACCTGTATACAAATAAGAAATATGTTTAAGGTCAATCAAAATTACTTAATAGGTTCATGACTTATTACTAGAGTTGCAAACGAGTTGAATCGAGTCGAAATTTGATCTAATTGAGTTGAGCCTTGACTTAATTTTATCAAACTCGAACTCGATGAGCTGCTAATTTAAAGGTCAAGCTGGAGCTCAATTCAAATTCAAGTAAAGTTCGAGCTCGAAAAAATAAAAAATTATTATTTTTTTTAAAATGAGTAAAATAATTTTTTTCTTAATAAATAATTAAAAATTAGGGATATATATGTAATTTTACTATGAAAATAAAAAATATATATACATATTTGACCTCGCGAATAAAGCTTAATATTTTGATATCGAGTTTGAACTCAAGTTCGATTTGGCTAGTTCGAACTCGACTCAAGCTCAATCAATATCCAACTCGAGCCGCTCGTGACCGGTTCGATTCGTTTGCAGTCCTACTTACTACTAAAGAGTAGAGTTTTAGTTATCTATTATATTTTTTTTTATTACTTAAACCCATTGGTGTAAAGTCATCTAACACTTTTCGGGTTTTTATCAAACCCATAGCTATTCCCCAATTTATCATGGTGCATGACAGTGTTGCTGAAAATTTGAACGAAACAGCACCTAAAAAGTCTCCCCTAATTGGACAAAAAAATATATATATATTAAGATGTTAATTTTTGACATTTTGCTTTCTTCCCACCACCCCCCCCACCCACCAAAACACAACTAAAAAACGTCCCTATCTACAGCTAAATCTTTTCTTTTTTTTTTTTGTGATGCATAAATTTATAATTCGTTAAGCATTAATTTTTTTGAACAAATTTCATAAACAAACAAAACGTTATAGGATGGTTCTTTAACTTGTCAAATATTGAAGTTATGCTTGTGTTTGTTTTGTAGATTCGTTGTTGTCTCTTTGGCTGCAAGGCAATTTTATTTTATTCTTTTGCTATACGAATAATTTATGGAAAAAGTTTATGTTCATATTGTAAAAGTAAGTAATTATTGACCCTATACAAGTTTCTTGTTTCTTCGAAATTTTTCTTCAACGTTGCAGTGCTGAATCTGCGTCTGTGGATTGTTGGGTAGATACGTTGATGGTTTAAATCAGAAATAAGTGCCCTAAAGTTTACGGACTTTGATTGTCACTTTTTACATAATGCACCATATATGGGTAAATAGAATGCGAAAATGGTCCACACCCTTGAGTACGAGTGATGACATAGTCAAGGAAATCCAGAGAGGAAGGACAGCCCTCCATGCAAAGGGACTCGCATTCTCCAATATCAGCCCGCCATATATAGCTGCCACTCCATTATTATTTGACACATTTATGGAATGGAAAAAGGAGGATGGATTAAGCCATCGGCACCCCAACCCACAGGGAAAGATGGAATCGAGAGCATGATACAGTAGTAGCAACATTTGCAACAAAGTTGAAATTTGGACCACTTCTCCCAGGTCAATTAGAGAAGAAAGCGAAGAAGAGCAGCAGCAGCAGAATCGAGCACGCGGCTGTCCTCAGCCTACCATCCTAAAATTTCCATACCCTATAAAGCCTAATGCACTGGAGGAGTCCGGCCTTTCTATACTGATGAGTATAAAACAACTGGGATCAGCTTCCCATGTTGCAAGTCTTTTTTCTGTTTGTCCTCTTTACTGATTGATTATTGTCATCCACCACAATGAGGTGAGGTCATAATTAAGCAATGCATGTCTTACCTATTTCATTATGGAGTTCAACACCTATACATATGATCACAAGACGAAAAATCTCAAGTTTGTCTTGCTAATGTTTTGATCGATTTGCTTGCCTCAAATTTCAAACCAAAGAATGGAAATGAATGGGAGGACAAAATTCCCTAACCTGTGGCCAGCTATTATTACCTAGGACTGGCACTTGAGAGTTGGAAGGGTACGAGAGGGGACGGGAGGTTAAAATAAAATAAAATAAAATAAAATAAAAAAAGAGTTGAGAAACAGATGTGTTGAAAACTGAATTATCATAAAAAAGGGAGCACAAAAACCTCCAGAGGCATTGTGGCATCAACCTGATTCGCAGGCCAGTGTCAAGCAATTGCAGCTTTAATGTATGTACTTAATAATCTCACAACGTCGTTCCAGCACAACGAATTTACAAGCATGCAAAGACACGGTACCAAGAGGTTGATAGCACATGTTAGTTACTGGTCCGATCTTGCTCAACGATTGATTAAAATGACAATTCAAAGGTATTATTAATCAACAAAATGCTTGGCCTTCATTCAGATTTTTAATGCACTTCTCACTCCTAGTTTCTCAATTTCAACATCTACACATTTAGTGGAACACTGGAAATTCTTAGATGATCATCGTTTATCTGTTTTCTTATTTTTAGCGGTCCGTTATGGATAGCTGGAAGAAATCACCAAGCTTCTACTTGAGATGGAGAGCATGAAACCACATTCTGCTATTCGCAGACAGCTTGTTCATCCAACAAACAATCCCCTTGAGGTATGCAAGTTTTGGAATGCAGAACCAAAGAAAGCTTCTAATACAATCATCATATACAACATAAGGGTCAAAGTGAACAGATCTCCCCATGAACTCAAGGTGGGGATTATTACATCATGTAGAAGTTCTAACGTAATCTTTTATTCCAACTTTACTCTTTCATAATGGCACTCAAATATGCACTAATCCAAGTGATCATGTACTTTTTTAATGTGTATGTTACTTCGACATATAAAAAAAAAAAAAATTCCTCCAAATATCTCATGAAACTAAAGGGCAACAGTCATTCTTTCACTCAGGTTTCTATGCTTTCCTTTTATAGGATAGATTTCAAAAGTTGAAGCCAGATCCCATCTAGTCTTTTCATGTACATCAACTGAGAGCACTTCTCTTCTTGATGCCCATAGAACACAATACTACTTTGCAAGAACTCAAAGCAAGCATACGTGCCCGGTGACTACACATTTTATGGCTACTCCAAGATATTCTTTGCTATTTGTTCAAGATCGCAAGTGGAAAATGCTTCCAGATCCCCCTCCAATTTTCCCATTAAAGACTAGCAGAAAGATCCAATAGGATGCATGCAAAAAGGAACTGGAAGTGCTGTGCCAATCCGTTAAAAGAGTGTATTGTCCTAATCTGATACAAGATAAAAGAGTACTTGGTATGGGGCAGAAGTCTCGAATCTAGGAAAGCTTATTCAATTTAGGTTTGTATACGTCAACACCAAATCTAGCAAACTATGGAAGGCAACTTTAATCTGCTCGTATGATGTGTACAACTTTTAACCTACATCAAGATTTATAATTTTGAGGAACCAAACTTATTAAGCTCTACTTGCACACACAAACACACCCCCACACACACACACACACACTCGCGTATATGTCTAACATCATAAGAGCATTATATCTCTGTGCATTTGCCAACATTAAAGATTAGCATTTAGGATTCAACAGGTCCCATTTTTCTACAGGTCACATCCATGCACGTTGCTCCACCTAGTCTCCCTCAAGTTTCTATTACTGGAGAAGATTTGTGTTTAGCAAACTTTTCATTAAATCATCATACACGTATATCAAACAAAAACAAGGTGAGAGAGGAGCGAGATTTCTTGACTCGTATACTTTTGGGACTGTGATGACAAACTGCCATTTGCCACTGCATGGGAGACTTGCAGAGCTGGACCGCTTCTAGTACCCCGTTTTCTCTTCTGATTTTCAACGGTGCGCATATTATAATGTATATTATTTTGTTGCATGAAACATGGATGGCATGTAGCGAACTAGGATATAAAAAATCTTGGTCCAAAACGAACATGAAACCAGCTATTTAGTCTCAATTTTTCCGGCAAGGAATCAGATAAAAGGGAAAAAAGCAGATGCAAGTTCAATACAAACGAAAAAAGCCAACGAAAAATCACACCCGAAACAGGTAAATTCATAAAGAAGGAACAAAAACCCACAGAATATGCCTACTGTGCACACATCCACATGTTGCATATTACACCAACCTCTCGAAATGGGAAAAAACAATCCCAAAAAAATAATTATTATTAAAAAAAAGTATCAAACCAACAAGAAGATGAACAACAACAATACTAGTAATATTAATAGAATGAAAACGATCAAAATGGCAAAGAAATTCGAAATGGAAACCAACATAACCGAAATGTCATGGTACATTTTTGTTACTCATCTGTTCTTCCTTTTTTTTTCCCAACTACTTCGATGGGGGATGTCAATGGTCAATACACTTAATGAAAAACAACATCAGATCAATGTATACTGAATGCAGTCAAGAAGGGAAAGCTCTTTAGCCTCAACTACCAGTTAGCACTTTGTTTTTCTTTTTTTTTCGTTTTAAGACCTTGGTGGTGGAAAGAATTGCGTACCGGCCATGAAAGCACTTAGTGGAGTTGGATAAATGGAAGGGTCAAGCATAGTGAGAGCAGGGTTGGTAGAGGTGACTGCAGCGTTGGCGGTGGCCGCGGCGGCTGTCCCGATAAGATTGAGTGGTGGTTGCGGATCATGATCATGATGATGACCATGACCTCCACCGCCGCCTGAGGAAGCTTCGCCAGCACCAGCTCCTCCACTAGTAGCGTAGCGGCTTTCAAGGCCTTGATCGTAGAGAATTCCCTTGAAAACGTGACCTCCTATGTTAACAGCTGTCTGATACGCGTACTGTTCTTCTGCATCATCCATTGCACTCACTCTTACGCACCTAAATGTAGCGGGATAATTCACTTCAGCCGGAAAGTTACCCACGTCTAACCCTAGTCAAAAAAAACAAGCCAATAAAAATCAGAACCCACAAAAAAAATGGCCTTTAAAGAAAAAGGAACTGCAAATTTTGGAAGTGCAAAGAAAGCATTTTTACTAGAGCAAGAACAAGACTTTTTGGTCAGGTTTACTCGGTAACAGTAGTAAAAGGAGGAGAATGAAAAGAAAGGCAGGAGAGAAGACATGGAAAGAAAAATAAAGACAAAAGGGTGAGTGTTTCTGACCATGGAAGGTGGACTTCATTGATCGCACGCAAAGGATATGAAGATATGATCTCTTTGCTGGCTGTGGTGGTTGTGGTGAGTATGACTTCTTATTATTAATAAATATATGTACTAAGTGTTGATGAGAATTTTGTTGGTATAGAGAGTATTTTCTCTCTTTCCTGTAGAGATATCTCTCTATAGAGCTAGCATTTACAGTCTCTGATTGAGAGTGTGCAAGTGCTTTGTTGTTTCTTCCTCCTAATTCCTACATACCTAATACCTACTACTACTAGTGTGCCTTTAAGATAAGAAAAATAGTTGTATCTAGATGAATGAAACGCCCATCAAATCCACTCCGTGGAGCTTTGCTTGATGATGTTTTTGAAGAAAACAAACGTTACCTGAAGTGGAAGTAGGCAAACGAGTGCAAGCAAGAGAGGAAGAGCCCCCTCCTCCTCCGCCTGGATTTTCTCTGAGTCTTTTGGGGTTATCACCTCTGATCAGGCTCAATTGTTGTTGATTTTGTTGTTGCTGCTGTTGGTGAGTTTGCAGAGCAGAGAGTTGTTGTTGTCTTTCACGCCTTTTGGCAGCAGGAACCCAAGTACTCTTAACGTGAGTTTGGCACTGAAACCCTCGGCTCTTACAACAAGTTCTGCACCTCATATGTGGACAGTCTTTCTTAGCTTGATTCCCACAGTCTTGGCAATTCATAGTACCACCACCACCACCACCACTACTACTGCCACTACCAGTTCCTCCTCCTCCTCCGTGCCTCATCACCCTAAATCCTGCTGATCTATAGGAAGAATCATCACCAATACTACCACTACCACCACTACCGCTACTGATGATCCTCCTACTGGGACCCACTGAGAAATCCACATCCTGCCCAACTACTTGATGATGATGATGATGTTGTATTCTTTGTTGATGCAACTGGTAGTATTGCTGCCATAGCTCAAAACCCTTGTTATAGATCTCTTCGTTCTTGAACAGATAGAAGCTGCTATTATTGGTAGTATCTTGCTGCTCTTGTTGCTCTTGCTCTTTCCCACCACCTAGTGAAAAAAACCCAGACATTTTCTACCCCTAGTGAGAAAGACACCACCAGCTAACTCTACCCTCCTGCTCCTCAATTCTCCAAAAAAATCCATAGCCCAACTCAACCTCTACGCCCTAGACAAGAATTTGGTATGCTGTGAAACATCAAGTTCTTTTCTTCCCTTTCTTTTTATTCTTTGGGGTTCGGACTAGTAGGTTGGTTTGAATAAGTGGGAAGTGGTAGCAGTAGCAGTAGCAGTAGTAGTAGTAGTAGTAAAGTTGTAAGGGTGTGTGTGTTTTGCGGGTGTCTTTTGTTTTTAATGCAGCTTTTCAGTTTTCAGGACAGGCTTAGGGAAAATGTTTTAAGGGCGGGGGTGAGAGAAGAAAGAAAGAAAGAGAAAGGAGGGAAGGAAGCAGGACGGTTTTCTTCTCTGAGTCTTGGAGTTGGGGACTTGCTGCTGCTAACTTGAATTCCTTGTCTTTCTTTGAAGCATTAAAGTCACAGCTCCTGCAAACGCCGCCATGGCCTCTGAGAACCCTCTCTGCAACCTCAATTTAAGACAACCAACAGTAATAGTAGTACCAATATTTCCTCTCTATCTCCTTCTCTCTCACGCACTCACGCACTTACATGTACAGGTATCACACTTAACAACACTGAATGAACTGGCTCTTTGAGCCTGCAGGCACAACAAAATCTTACCACTTGCTTCTACAGTTCTCTTGCAGTTTGCAACAAAAATCTCCCTCAATGAGGGATGAATCCTAGCCCTTGCATGACGATCGGACGGTCAATGCTTTCCCACGTGGCGAAGCATCAGCTTTTGCTTATTCGTCCTTGCACCGGAAAACACGCTCTACTTTTTTTTTGCCTCTGACCCCCTTACCATAATAATTAAGATGGATTTTACTATTAACTTCCCAACGGAGCCAAAGCCATCTACTAAATGAGGAAACGGTATGCTACGGGTAACTTTACTAATTCTTCCCTCACAGACCAATCAATGGAGGATGATTAGGGGGTCATCATCTAGACACTAGGGCAATGGAGTGTGTGGTAAGATTTTCAAGTTGATATTTGCTTTTCTTTTAGTTGGAATTTTTAACCATTTACATACACATGATAGGCGAACAAGATGCCAAAGCTAAAGAGTTGATAAGAATTGATCTTGCAGGTAAGATTTTCAAGTTGATGAGAAATTTCAGACCAATGACTATATATATATATACTAAAATTTGGCATTGCATGAATGAAAACATCTCAAGAAGTTTTTCATTCAATTAAATTATTGTAGAGCAATAGCATGAGAGAGATGTATTCATGGGCGGACATTAGGATGATAGAGGAGGAATTCTCGAATTCAGAAAACTGCAATAGTAAGTAGCATATGGTTGGCCTTAGCCTCATACTACAGTAGTAAGTATTTTGCACAATTATTTCTAGAATTAGAGAATAAACGCCTCGTATTCCTCTCTTAACTCTTTGAGTAATCATTTTAAGATTGACTCCATTCTACATCGAGTTTGGTTTTAGGAATATTATTGATGGGATCAATGAAGAAATGTAAAGGCAGTGCTCTATTTCGAGGTCAACTCCCATTGACAGTAACAGAAGTGATGTAACATACAAGAACAAGAGAAGATCGAGGGAGAAAGAAAAGGGGGGGTCCTTGACTTGGGAGTTTGTATGCACCAGCAACAATAATGCATGGATCAATTAATTATGTTCTTTTATGGGTATAACAACAGTGGATCTCTGTAAAGGCCATACAGAGAATTGAAAGATCCGTCTCCATGAAACTTGCTTCGCTTTATGTACGCAAACGCAAGTTTCCACGTACTCTCTCCTATGCACTCCGCACCAATATATAGGGTAGGCAGTAGGCACAAAGAAATTAAAAATTACAGTGCTCCGTTTGAATTGATTATTTTTTTAAAAAAAATTATGTATAATATTACAGAAATATATAAATAAAAATAATTTCAAAAACATAAAAAATAACTTCAAAAATATATATAAAAGAACCTTAAAAACAGCCTAAAAAATAATCTAGTCTACAGTAAAATATTTCAAAAATACCTTAAAACATAGTTAATCCAAACAGAAGAAATCAAATCTAAGGTAATCAAGTAGTATTAATTGAAAGAATAGCAATCTTCTGTGATGCATATGGATATGGTTTTGTAGAATGCCCATGTGGTGGTAGCACTTCTTTATAATTTAATACTAATATGATGCAATGGTGTAAACTGTAAAGTAAGATTTTTTCATATGGTTGGAAACAATTAAATGTCGACATATTATTGTTAAGTTCTTTATTCTGCTGCCTATACCCCTTCGTCCAACAAAAGACATCGGAAGATCAGCATCATTTCACGAGTCCAAGAATTGCTTTACTCTCATTCCCTCCTCTTCTTTTTTTTTTTTTTTCCATCCCTTTTATGTGGAATTGGTGCGTGACGTATCAATCTGCCCATGCATTATCCTCAGGTTGTGAGTCTCTAACCAAATCATAGAGAATGAACATGGATGGAATCATTAAGACCGGTTGAGAAAATTTCTCTTCTTTTCCATTGAGTTATATCACAAAATTTCTTCTACAAATTTGATCATTATAGCGTAGATCAAAATCCCATTAGAATGCTGAAACAAAGAGTATATTATGAACTGAAATCATCACGTCAAGTTATAATTCTTTCGTATGGTAAAGGTGTCTATGAGTGCTACTTGCTATTTTGTGTTAGCGTTGGCGTTATTCCTTAGAAAACCAAAAGAAATTTGCTACTTGTTCTTGAGCCTACTCAAAAACAATAAATAACGAAGAAGAAAGAATATGTATGTACTATGTATGTGTGTATATATATATATATATATAAACATAACACAATGGAATCCAAACAATTTCAAATAGTAGCAATTTACTTTTGTGAAATAAAATTGGAAATCCAAATTATACAGTTGGTCAGATCTGATGATTTGCGATTCACATTATATATTTATTTATTTATTTTGTAACTCTGTTAAATTCAAATCAGGCATATTTTATGCATCATACATTAAATAAATCGTGTTAGATGATTTCTAACTAGTTTTTTTCTCATGCTATTCGCTTTGTTTTATAAAAAAAAATAATAATAAAACACACATACATAAAGAAATAATTATTGAGATAATTATGTTGTCTAGACTTTCTCGATCTCGTTATTTCATTCATTCTGCTCCCCATCATTAGTCAAAATTGTCGGGATAACGTTGTCAATAACTTTTTCAAGCTGAGTTAACTTATTAACATCTGTTCGATAAGACAACTTAGAAGTTGCCAAGGACCAACCTTGAACTTGAACTCCGACTTGGCTTAGTGCTAATAGTATAGCCTTGTGACTGGCTCTATAATCAATATATATACGTATATATATATATATATATAATGTATGTAATCTGTCACGGGAGCCATCCTCATAATTATCAGACGGGAAGAAATTTTTTTTCTTTTGTCAGCTTTAACAAACACGTGACATCCCCTAATTAGTGGCTGTATTTAGATTTATTAAGTTTTCAATAATATATACGAGACCGACGACGGCCCAAATCCAGCCGTGGCTTGCCCCCGAGGTCTTTGAGAAATCAGTTTAGAAGAAATCATCAAGAATCAGTGGCCGCATCGGATCAATTTTCAATACTAATTTGGGCTAACCAAAACGTGAAAAGCACTAATTAGTTGCCAAAATTCAATGATGAGTGTGTAAGAGCGTTTGTTTAGTAGCAGCAGCAGCAGTGGTAGTAGTAAATAGCAATTCAAATTGGATATTTATATTTTTAGGGGCCCGAGGTTCTTTCTTTTCACTATTTGACCCTCTGCCCTCTCTCATGGCTACAAATATCTGCCTGCGCCACACCCACATTATTATTATTATATTTCTGACCAATTATTCTCAGGCAAACCTTTGCATGATAGATAGCTCGCGACTTGACAATAGTCATCGATTCTTCTTTCCCCAGAATATATATATATATATGTATATATTTGTAGTCATCGATTCTTGTGGCTGCTTTCATTTTTTTTTTTAAACGAACTTTCTTTCTTTTTGTCCTTTTTTGTGGTGGAAGAAAGCTTCTGAAAGCGTTTATTCCACGGGTAATTAATTCATTCATGCCCTCATTTCAGTAGATCAATATACCCTCACTTTCAAAAAGTTCAGTATTGTTTGTTGGCTAATCGAACCTGTTTGGATTGTAAGTTTCTGCCAAAAAATTGTGTCATTTTTCGTAGTCACATTTTTTTATTACATTTTCCCCTCACATACATCAAATCGTTATAGTATTTTTTTTCCTGAAAAATACAATCTAAACCGGAATTTTTTATGAAAAAATTACTGTAACAATTTGATATATGTAAGGAAAAAAATATTATAAAAAAATATGTTCACGAAAAACAAGACTATTTTTCGGCGAAAAACAAGACTAAACAAGGCCTGCAGGCTCGAATCCAAGTGAGGCAGACTCCTAGGATATGATGATTCATTGATATATCCCATAAAATCTGTCCGTGCCAAAAAAGAACTTTGATTATTACTAGTACTAGTATTGTTGTCTGAAAATCGTAGCCATCTCCTTCCTCTAAGGATTGCAATTTGAGTCCAATTGCTAAATCCCAGAAAATGGGGAATCCCTTTTCCAAGACTTGATGCTACTACTACAACATTCCTTTTAATCGTGATCATTTGAGAGTCTAACCATAATCATAGTACTAGTAGTAGTGTATTTTCTTCTTTCTTGAAAAGCAGCAAATAGAAGAAGGGCTTGAAAATCCATTTGGGCACATCACATGTTATAGAAAAAAAAAAAAAAAAAAAAGAGCAAGTCATACTATATGTCATATGATATGGCAAGGGTCATCCCAGAAAATCTGCTGATCATCATGGATATAAATGAAACTTGATAGAGGAGCCGTAGGTTGCCTGCAGGAGTTGCTTTGTTGTTGTTATGGTTGATGATATAAGATATGCAGTAGTAGAAGTAGAGGCAGTAGACTCAGAGG